TCTATGGCAGACTATCGGGTACATAACAGGAAACTTGTCTCCCGGTATGCACCCGATATTCATTGATTCAACCTGTGATCGTTATAAAGGTCATTTCAATTAATTTCAATTAATCGAAATGATTGAGCAGCATCTCGATCACTAGCAAATTTCATTGATGGAGCTGCTTGAGAACAACCTTAATTTCACTAATACAAATTTGATCATAGTAAATTACCAATGTACAGTACCTTACATAGTTTTAACTAATTTGTCCGTGTGACACTCTAATACCCTATGTTAAAAATGCAGGTGAGATAAAATTAGCTGGTGAAATTGGTTTTTTCAATCACAGATTAACGGGAATAACTTGAATAGAAATTTGATTCCTATTCCCACCACTTGTGATTGAAAAAACAGTGTAGAGATATTTTCCGAGCTTTATTATATTTACAATTAGTTGTACAACTTGATCTTTCATTAACCATTAATTTAGGTACTTTGTTAATCTTTCGAAATGTTATGTTTAACATCAAAATTACCTATTTTTAATTTATAACCTTTTTTTTTTTTCTTACAAAGTCCGTTCCGACTGATCTCTAATAATTTATAAACACTTAAAACACTTCATATTTCTAATACGTATAAATGACAAACTTAGTACATTCTGTTATATTTATTCATAAATGCATGCACTTTCAATTTTATATTTGCAACAACAGTCATGATGAAATATTTCAACACTAGTGCGTATAATATCATAATTACTAAACATTATTATCACTCATAAACAAATCTATAATTTACCGTGATTTAATCAGTAGATTATATTTTATACGTGCTCAAATCAAATAAAACACATAAATAAGACATTTTTAAATATTTTGTTACATTAATAAAAAAAAATTTAAGTGAGTATGTCCAATGTATTGAACAAATGTTTAATGATAAAACGCGTCAAATCAATTATGGCGTTTGATAGATGCATTTTCTAATTGCCGAATTCGATATTCTAACAATCTCAAATAAGTCATAAGATCGTAGATAACTACGATAACGCAATTAGTACCTGGAGAAACTAATACATGAAGTTAGAAAGAAATATGAAAAAAAATTTTTTTTTGAGATATGACAAATCAAATTCTTACCATTTCTAATTGGTTTCAGATTATTGATTCTCGTATTTTCTAATTGCTGAACACGATGTTCAAGATTGCTCAAATAGCTGCCGATTTTGTTACCCAAAGATGTTCTTAAATTTGAAGCAGGTAAAAGTCGGTAAATTATAACAATGCAGCAAGTCCTATGATTTTTAGGTTTGTATATTTTAGCCATCTTTAATACTGTTAAGCAATGTTGTAGCTAAGGATGAAAACCTTTACGTGTTTTAAATACGTTTTTTTCTTTGCTGAATCACATGTAGTGAATTTTCTATACAGAAAATTACGGAATAATGATATTGTTTCGTGAATTGAACACGGAAATAATAAGACAAAAGAATATGAACTTAAAACTGAGCTTCGTATTGAAATTTCCTGAAAATCTTAGTTTGACATGATGCAAACACTCTCGAATTGTTGATATTGTTAATTGTGTGCTGCCTTATATAAGTATACATTTTGAGTATCACCAATTGCTAAGATAGCTTTTTTCAGTATAGATGTAAAAGATTCCGTATTAACATTTTTGGAAATGATAAAGTTTTCGATATATATGGTAATTCCAAATGTGGAAGTTACCAACAATTCTAGAAGCTATATTCTATAAGATATAAGAAAGTAAAATGGTAGTCGTACGAAATTTGTATTTTTTTGCCGGTAATACAAACTCCTAAAAGGAAAATATTGGTTGTGAAACCATATACAAAAATCCGATTGGTTCAGCCATATAGCGATCTAATATTTTTTACCAAACAACTATCATTGTACATTAGTATTAGGCATACAGTACCGAAAATGTGTACGTACATACAAGAAATTCATGTGCAAATTCTAAGTCGAATTACTTTCAATTCAAATATTTAAATGCATTTACATTTAATTCGTTTTTTTTTTTAATACACGTATAAACTTTAAATGCTACCAGTAAAATATGTTTTTGTTACGACCGCTCCAAGTTTTTGGAAGTTTTTTTGCTCGTTCATAATATTTAATGTCGTCCACCATTTTTTGGATATCGATTCAATGCTTCGAAGCCATCTTTTTTGTTTGGTAAGATTATTAGAGTTTTCAAGACAATCGAGCGCCTAAACCATAAAATATATTTATATAAACCTGAAAATATAGTGATAAGGCCACGCAAAGTTGATTTTTCGTTTGCATTACATGGATTTCAAAATTAGGGACGGACGGACGGATTTTTTTTTTTTTTAATCCAATTTACTGCAAATAGAATAATGATCACATTTTAGGTTATATTTGCACAACAAGGAATCAAAAAATTGGGCCGGCAGTCATATTTTTCCTGTCAGTCCTATCGGACAATT